AGATTGAACCCTGAAACAACCTCAGTCTGGTCTGATCTAAGTCAGGGCACGACTAACTCACAGATTGAACCCTGAAACAACCTCTGGGCTGATCTAAGTTAGGGCACGACTAGTTCACAGATTGAATCAGAATTTAGCGTCAATGTTAAATTTTGCGTAGGGATGAAAACTACCTTGATTAGAAGGTTTCATCCGGGTTCTCCGGTTTTCTTCCCCAGCAAGCTAAATTCCAGTTCTATCTGTGAGTTATCCGTGCCCTGAGTTTGATCAGTCCAGAGGTTGTTTCAGGTTATCTATTCGAAAAATTCAAACTTGAAAGTTTTTTTATTCTCAAAAAGTTTGAAATTGGGGGGGGGGGGGGGGGAACGCCGAATCTTTTTTTTTGTCCATTGTACTGACTTCCTTGACCCCGCGGCCTGTGCCAAACTGTTCATAATGAGGATAAAATCAATCAAAATCTTTGATTTGCTCTTGTTTGCACAGTCAAAAGACGCCAGGATAATTATTGGCATGTTCTATTCAGACATGGCGAGAAAGGTCTTTTGCGCGGTAAGTCTAGAAATTCATTATTCAATGCTTTTATTTACCAACCAATTATATTGTACAGTACTAATGAACTACTTCGACGATGTTGCGGCCATCTTGAATCGCAAGGCATTATGGGTCACGAAATGGGTAAAGCAAAACTGAAATGACGACCCCACGATGTTTGAGAAATGTCAATTGCCGCTATTTTCTACAAAGCTTAATATATTTGCCCCCTGGGCTACCCATAATGCCTTGTGATTCAAGATGGCCGCCGCATCGTCGTATTTGTCCCTTATCTTGTAACCCTCACAAGTTGACGCGAAAAAAATACAACCAGGGAACAAATAGTAATTTTTGAAATGATATTTTAGTACAGTTGCTGTTTCCAGTACGCCTGGGATACATTTAGACCTGATGGTTAGACACGTGACCAATGGCCAATGGAATCGTTTTCTAATTAGCCAAATCTTTGAAACCAATTAAATCATGTGATTTTCCCGTCTGTTAGCATCTGTTAGCACAGTATTCAATAATTCAATACGAAAATTCAATAATAGTTGTGTGTTACCTTTGTGTATTTGGGCTTCCTGTGTTATATCAATAGTTTTTGTGTCATACATCCTTCCTGTACAAAAACGTCATATTTACGATCTGTCATTTCATTATATTTTCGTAGGCTTATAAAATGGGAATGTATGGGAAGCAGTACCAGTGGATCATCCCTGGATGGTTTGATGCAAGATGGTGGGAAGTAAAGGATAATGGTCTTGAATGCACGCCTGCGCAAATAAAGCAAGCCGCTGGTAATTATTTTGCTGCTATGGAGGCAACGTGGAGTAGCGATCCAAGACCAACAATCAATGGTCAGGTAATAAGTAAGAAGAGAAATCTTCCTGATTCTGATTCTCAGTTGCTGTAGTCTGTTATAGAGCCGTCTGGTCACGCCCGCTCTTCCATCCATCTATTTGTTCATTCCATCCCATCTTCTATCCCATCCCATTCCATCCATGAATAAATCTCTTGCTTTCCCATCCATCCCTTCATCCACCTATCCTATCCTATTCTACACAATCCCATTCAGCAATCCATCTCATCCTATCCCATCTTATCCCATCCCATCCCATCCCATCCCATCCNACCATATAATACCATACGACGCCACGCCACACCACACCACACCACACCACACCCCACCACACCACACCACAGTCCCGTCCCGTCCCGTCCCATCCCATCCCATCCCATCCCACCCCATCCCACTCCATCACATCCCATCCTATCCTATCCCCTACTATCCCATCCACTTTATTGTACTCAAGTTTTAAAAACACAACGAATCCACAGAACGCGGCAACTCTTAAACAGCGGTACACGGAACGAGTCAAAAATACGTCTTACACACATAACGAATACAGTGTCTTTGCTTATGACGCGATCTGGGCTGTTGCCTTGACGCTGAACAACTCAATAGAAACACTGCGGGCTCAAGGGAAGACACTGGAACAGTTCAACTTTAGCGACGCATCCATGTCAAGGGTTTTTCAAGAAAAGCTTCAAGGACTTCATTATCGAGGAATGTCTGTAAGTAGAGCTACAAAAGTCTTCGCTTCTACGCATAACAGTTTGGTCTTTTTTGGCCAAAGGCTTTCCAATATAAATAACGGGGATGTTGTTGTACAATCTAATGACCGTTTTCTCTGTTTTCTTTAGGGAGAAATAGCCTTTGATAATTTTGGAGATCGAGTCGGCGTGGTAGTTATCGAACAATTACAAGGTCAGCAGTAATAGCAATTTTCCGTCACTCGTTGTAACTTTGGCTTCATTCCGGCTATTTAGTACATAGTCCTCGAGCCCAAATGGGCGATTGACTCAAAGGCCATGACGGCAAGAGGATTAATTGTCTTAGTCAGACTAGTCCAACTAGTCGGTCAAAGATACACACTTTTCACAGTCGCTACTAGTATAAGCTATAACCACTAGTTTGATTTTACTAATATAAAATAGTTAGCCGTTGCGTGTGCGCAGAATGAGAGGAGTAGTCGGCCCTACGTATTTCGCACTGAGCCTTTCAGTAGATTAAAATTCAAAATTACGAGATCCACAGCTAACCCAACACTAAAGAACAGTTCTGGCGTTTGGAGGCTATGGCCTTCACCACATTGCTCAAATGGCCAAGTAAATATGCCTTCTTTGAACTAGAAACATTTAGAGAAGGACACAATTTACTGTCAAGTTTTACCCATTATTGTACTTTCAGTATTGCACAGGGTATAATATCTCCATCCAACCAATAACGCTTAAGTTCTCTTGCACGTGACTATTTTTATTTCTTTAACTGATTATATCATAGTTAATAGCTACCATTATGCTAAACATTGTTGTTTTTTTTTCAATTTAGACAACGCTGAAGTGTTGGTCGCAGAATACGATTCTCACTCAAGCACTTTGCGCTTCAATGGCAAAAAGGTCATCTGGCAAGGTAAGCTGTCATGCCTCAGCCAAAGTTTACTGAGGCTCTTGAATTGGACTAGTCGATACGTGATGGAAATAGAAATCTTACTGTTATACACTTTTATATATAAGTCATAACAGTTGCTCTTTCTACGCATTAAATCTTGTACTTAGCTGTGAGCAAGGCTAAGGTTGTAGCTCAGGTCGTGCTGGAAGGTACAGACCTAAGCAAGGATACTCAGAGTGAGGAAATCCTTATTACAGCCTCGCCGACTAAGGAAAGTCTTTGTGGTCAATCTGGCTCTGCTTTAGTTTGTGGACATCTATGTACATCTATTGGTGTCTGTACCTCTGTACTGTAGTCTTACACAACAATAATGAAGACCATGACATGAAATCCACTCCAGTATCGAGTTCTCTGTTGCTCAGGGTTAGCCTCGATTTTGTGTAGAATATTCATATATTCCAGTCAAGGTCCGTCAAGTTTCAAAGTGTTTGTTGAAGTTGTGCATTCTTTACTTTACTGTTGGTATTTGTGAATATTTAGACTCTGATTCGAGGCTAAGCCTGAGTGAATGAGTCTGTAATCAAGGAACACAGCGGTCTATTCAGTCAAACCGAACGCGTTTTAAGTCATTGTTTTTGTTCGTTGTTTTTGCAGGTGGCTCACCCCCTGTTGACCAAACCCTTATAAGCATGGAGCTCGTGTCTGTCTCTCTCCCATTGATGATCTTCATGACAACCTTTGCCGTTCTTGGGATTATCCTTGCTACTGGATTTCTAGCTTTCAACATATATTACAGTAATCGTCGGTAAGGCACCCAATGTACTTGCCGTAGAATAGAGTAAAGAGCTTATCGTATGAGTGGGGAAACGTACGGTAATGACCATACGGTTTAGTGCAGTTTTCGTATGACTGTGAAAAGTTCACGGCACGAACACGGTCGTGACACAGCAAGGGATACGCCAGACAAATCACATTGCACGAGAATTTACTCTCCATCTAATCAAATACCCAGAACACGGCATAAACACGGCGCAGACAGGGTCACGCCAAGATCACGGCACTTTTAGACCAATCATATTGCGCGTGAAAAAAATCAGCCAATTAGAATTCTGGAAAGTATCACGGTCACGGCACGTCACGCTTACGGCACTGAGCTTTTCACGGTAATGATTTGCTGTAACCCATTGTCTTCTAGCAGTTCATCCAATCATAACGCGTAGTTACGACTACGGTAAAATACGACAAGGTGCGGTACGGCTACGAATTTGCTGTATTGCTATTGGTCATGATGGTCATGTGACGCGTGGTAAAAGCAGTACCAACATGTGCTTGCGCATGTGCAGAAGTGGAGCATATTTAATAATTACACTGTGTGCAGAATTACTGGCAGTAATATAGTGATCCTGAACATCTTGGGTCCAATACCAAACCCACTACGTGACAAGAGGATCCCTAAATCGAGTCATGTATGACAATGAATGACCTGTTCATTTACTTGATAGATTTATTCGTATGAGCAGTCCTCGTCTCAACTCCATCACAGTCATTGGATGCATCCTCATCTACCTCTCTGTCATCTGTTCGGGCATCGCTGATGGAAAATTCGTTACGCCTTCACGATACTCCATAATGTGTCAGGTTAGAGAATGGTCTCTTCATTTTGATTGGCAGATTATTTACACAGATCTATACAGATCTGCGTGTTGAGCAAGCGTCGGTTTTGTTTTGTTTTGTTTTTTTGTTTTTTGGGTCGTATAATTTTCCCGAATCATCTGTCTTGATTCTTATAAATCATTGAACGCGTTTTTGGATTACAAGTTTGTTTAGTAAACCCGAAAAGTGTAAGAGAATCTGCACTATGAATTCGAAATTAACGAAGTGATCTATGATAACTGATTTGGGGCTTAAAAACGTCGACATTTCTGCTGATCCTTCTAAGTAACTAATAACTAACTGAGCTTTACTGAGGTGGAGGGGGAGGGGGAGGGGTGGGTAGTTGGAGGAGGCCAATGCTTCCATACGAGGAAAGTCGACTGAAAGTGTGAGGAAATTACATTACCCCCCCACGTAGAGGTATACGGAATCTATTGCAAATCTATTACCAGCATCTATTATCAGCATCTATTATTGATATATCATTTATTTAATATTTTCAGAGTCAAGTTTGGGTGTTATGTATCGGTTTCACCTTGGCTTACGGTGCAATGTTCTCCAAGACATGGCGAGTTCATATCTTGTTTTTGAAGAAGATAGAGCGAAGGGTGAGTACGAGATATGTCGGCTTTATTTTAATTCCTCACAACACAACGACACCAATACGTGGAAAAATCTTTAACTATCTATTATTGACATTATCGTCATTGATATTATTTTTACCCTTTGAGGAAAAAGGGTTCTTGTAATGCATGCTATTTATTAAAAAACATTTTTTCTTTCGTTCTATGATCGTTCATTCATTTTTCAATCTCTGGACCTATCTTTATATGTGAGTCGAGCTTCTTGGTCCTATCCTGCAAGGACAACGGATCATTCCAAAAAGTGTAGGAGCTTAGATTGGAAAGCATAAGAGACTAGTATGCAAAAGGGTAAAAATGAGAGGGGGGAGGGGGGGGGGGGGGGGGGGGGGGGGGGGGGGTAGTAGGCAAGAAGTGTGGGGGTGTTCGCAGTTCATGATTAGTGCTTCGCTTCAAGGGATGTTCATGAGATACGTGTTTTTCTCTTTCTCTCTTTCTCTCCAGTCAATAAAGGACCATCAACTCCTCGTAATGGTTGCTGGGCTTTTATTCATTGACGTCATAATCTTGATCACGTGGCAAGTTCTCGATCCATTACAATACGCAATAAGATATCTTCCTGTCGTTGAGGTATGACTCGTTCTTTAGGGAGGAGAAAGACTGTGGAATCTAACTGACTCCAAGTGCTAATGTATTACCTTAATTCAAAACATGTTTTAAACATTTTCAAGATTTCAGCCGGGTCCAAACTTTCGGTTTCAAATGTAAGTTAAGATAGGGGTATGTTCGTAGCAGTCTTCGGGGAAATAAGTATACCTTTTTACCTTGGACCTAATGCCTTTCCATTTCAGACCACGTTTCCTTCCCCACAGTATCATTTTTCTATTTAACGGTTGCGAATGAGAAGACACCTTAATATGGTAAATGGTCATAATGAGAAAACATTATGATCAAAATCAAAAGGAGTATTTTTAATGCTTACAAAGAAAACTTTATTCTATAAGCCTTTCCATAGTTGTAGAAATGCGTTGCATTATGGGGCTGTTTGAGAGACGCTTCAACAGTTAGATGACAGTTTTTGATAACTAACACAACAAATAAGGCTTCACATGATTACTGTCGAAGAAATAAAGAGTCCTCAACTGGGTTTTTTAGACTAATCAGATTTAAAGGTTCAAACTCCAAAGAATTACAACTTTGCACTCGACTCACAAGCAAACTCTCACATTCTCTCGCATCCCATAATATTTTCTAACATATTGGACACAGGAAGCCCAAAGTTCAAAGTCCTAAGTCAAAAATCTTTTAACAATTACCAAGTGAAAAGGACACTAAAGCGTCCCCTAAAACAGCCCATAATGCAACGCGTTTTGCAAGTCCGAAAAGACTAATACAAGGATACTTCCCGTTGCCTAGCATTCGCAACCCACCACCCCCACCCCTTGGGGTCATGAAAAATGTCACTACGGAGTTTTTTTCGTTTTGTTTTGTTTTGTGTTACCCTTGATATACTGATCGAATATGAGTTGACTTGTAGGATAAGGACGGGTTCTCGGCCAAAAGACCATACATTGAGTTCTGCTCATGCCAAGACACTATAAAATGGAAAGCAACGATTTTCACCTTCAAAGGTACTCATTAGACCATGCAATTAGACCATGCAATCTTCTAACTATTATATTTTATTCTGAAATTAAGGCTAACGCTTGGTTCTCGCTAGCGATGCAAACGTAATTGCAAGAGAAAGGAAGAACATTTTTCTAAGAAACCATAATTATAACAATACATTTATAAATAATAATACATTTATAAAGCGCTTATTCAGACATGTTCTAAGCGCTATAAACATCTGTCCTTCATGTTGTCTTGGTTTTCTTGGGTTGGCTTGCGCTTGTGTTTATGCTTGCATCGCTTCTTTTCTTAGTGAGAACATGACAACCAGGCTTAAGAAGAAAATACAAAGACAAAAATCCGCACACCTTCTCTGGGTGGAATTTATGCTATTTCTTTCCTTGTGTATTTTCCTGTTAACCTTGCATCCAAGGGACCATCCAGGGTAGTTTTGAAAGGAGTCTATATTGTATCCTACTTTGGCATAGCGAAGATTTCTCGTAAAGGCTCCAGGCATGGAGGTTTAGTGTGGGTGCCTGGGTATTCGTGGCCAACTCTCTACTCGAGAATTGCTTTTTGTTAATCCTAATGAGACGTACAAGACGTCCTATTTCTTTCGACGATTAGACCATTGCGGATGTATTCCACTAATAATTCATGTCTATGTTTCCAAGGTCTTTTACTAATATTTGGTGCTTTCTTGGCATGGGAAACACGTAATGTGACGATCCCCGCCCTTAACGACTCCAAGAACATTGGTATATCTGTCTACACAGTCGTCTTATCTTGTACCGTTGGGTTGCCTGTGGTAATGGTAATCACAAGAATGCCAGACTTCACGTATGGTCTAAGTTCTGCCATGTGTTTGGCTTGCACTACCATTACACTCTGCTTGATGTTTGTACCGAAGGTAATTGATAGGGAACAACTTCGACGATACGGCAGCCATATTGGATCGCAAGGCATTATGGGGCGTCCAGGGGGACAAATATATAGCTTTGTTACAGTAATGACTTCGATTGATATTATCAGCTCACCACAAGAGAGTTTAAAGATGAATTTTACCGTCTTAAAAGACGGTACACCAAATAATTTTACTCATAAAAGAAAGACAAACTACACGAAACTCTATAAATTTTCCGTCGTCTTTGTTTTCTTTTGCCCCTTGGCAAGATGGCCGCCGTATTGTCGTAGTCCATTGATTAAGTTTCGTACAGCGGTTTTTGTACGAGTCAGAAACGATATTACGCCGAATTCATAGCTGTACAGAAAATGGGAAAGCATTTCGATGTTACAGCATGTCGTACCGTGCACGTCCTGAAAATCAGAACCGTTTGTTACGGCATGTGTATCCCACTCACACGATTACCATTACCATATGATAACCATATTCTTATGGCAATCCATTTGAATCTCATGCCGTGTTGTAAGTCAGTACCGTATGTTTCCAACTCATACGAAAACCGCTCTATTACAGTGCGGATACTCTAACCATGAACACTTCGAGGTTTTTTTGACATTTTTTCAACATTTTTCAAACTTTATTTAATGCGTTATCCAATCACGACAATCGTTAGGAGTTCTATTTTTAGCTTTCTCATGGGAACTACTGAAAAACTGAATCACATCAATTATATCGTGTGTTCTGATTGGATGATGCCTAAAAGTTGTTTCATTCCTTTTAAGAAGGAGATCGCTGATTGGATAGTTGTAAAAATGCAGAAAAAATATCAAAAAACCCTCGAAGTGTTCATGGTTAGAGTGTCCGCACTGTAACACTTGTTCTTAACAAATGATGTACCGCCGGACATATCGCTTTACAATACAGATTACTTTTTACAACTCTTTACAATCATCAGATAATGATGTTGGGCAAACCTGATTTAGAGCAAAAAGACACGCAAAATGAGCGTACGGGGTTTTATGGCACGAAGAGTAACGCAATCGTTCCCAGTGATAGCAGAAGTATTTCCAGTGGTCAGAAAGATCCCCCGCCTCCTGGTGAAACACAAACAATCTTCCAATCCATAAGAAAAGCTTCTAAAGTCGTTCAGGTAAGCGGATATACCAAATAAACCTGGTCGCGTGTCCTAGCGGATGAGGTTATCTTAACGTATGTGCATTTTAAAAATGCAGATTAAAGAAGAGACAAATATGGATTGCAATAATTCAACAACAATAGAGAGTGCTGAGGCGGCTCAAGAAGCTACAACCGAGCCGGCAAAGGACGCAACAGAGTCCAAAATTTGAAGGACGTTAACTTTAATCGTGTATTTTATAGAGAAAATGAAAGCCTCACTCTGGAATGCATAAGATACTGACAGCAGGGATCTTTGCTACCTTATCCAGGCGTACCTCAAAGATTTGTTTTGGGACCCTTCTTGTAAACCATCCATATCAGTTCACTGTCTTAGAAAGAGTCTATGAAGAGGTAGTCATTCCACTTTCTTAAGCAATCACCTTAATCTGAAAGCTATTTAAAATTTGTATTATACTAGATACCCATAGTCATTAATATTTTTGTCACGTCAATATCGTTTTCTTGCGCATCGTATATAGAGCAATTTCCGTATGACCGTGAAAAGCACAGAGCCGTAAGCGTGCCGTGACCGTGATGTTTTCTAGAAATTTAATTGGCTGATTTTTTTTTTTTTCTCGCGCAATGTGATTGGTCTGGCAGTGACGTGACCTTGTGATCGTCGTGTTCATACCGTGTTCCATGTATTTGATTGGTTGGAGAGTAAATTCTCGTGCAATATGATTGGACTGGCGCATGCCTTGCTGTGTCACGATCGTGTTCGTGACATGAGCTTTTCACAGTCATATGAAAACTGCTCTAAAAAACACTGACCAAGTCAGCTAGTTTCTAGTTTAGAGCTTGACTCACTTTTATCTATGCGCGCGGCGATGGCGAACCGAGTAGTGGAAAGAAACTGGTAAGAAATGTAACATTCTCCAGTCTATTTTGTATTTCATTCGCGCGCGTGGTTTTCCTGGGTCGAATTGCTGCGCTCGTGGTTCCACTTGAGTTTGGATCATTTTTGACGTCATTTCATGTTCGATTACAGTACAGACCCATAGAAAACTGACTTTGATTTGTTTTTTACCATAACAAATTCGAAACAATTGAAAAAGACAAGTAAATAGTTTGAAAAGCCTTCTAATCTAGCCTCTAATCGACAATGGTTCTAAGCCAATCAGCTCTTGAGAAATTTCCAAGTTATGGTAAAATTGTTAATTGTTTATTGTGGGAATGTTTTAAGATGCATATTTACAAGATGGCATCAATTTCGTCCGCTAAAACAGTTTCACAATGCACTGCAATGTCTACTCGATTCAGTTTTTTTCTCAACCTCGTAATGGTTAAATAAATAATTCTAGAAACACTAGAGGCATGTATGAAGGATTTGATCATGTTTCATTCATTGTTAAGTAAGAAATCACTAATCCGTTAAAATATTAAGGCAATTTAGACAATGATAATAAACTAAATAGAGTGACCACAGTAAATCCGTGAAACTTTAGTAATACTAAATAGCACAATTTCATGCGAATTCCATTGTTTTCTATTGTTTAATTAGCACTATTTTGTACTATTTAGTAATTAGTGTTTCACGGATTTACTGTGGTCACTCTACCATAATATGACCCAACATAAAAAATATATTCATAGAAACTGAGTGTGCAAACGCAGTATATTTATAACGTAGGTATTTAAAGTAAAATGACTGATACGAAATATACTTTGCTTTGGTTTATTTTATTTTACCCTCATTAATTTACAAGTTTATCACGTATAATATTTACCATCTCCAGCTTATAGTCATTTCAAACTGCCCTGATTCAGAGGCACCTCTGCGTCTGAAAGTCAATATTTCTCCTAAAGTGACGTACTTGATGACTTCATCCGAAATACTGGACTACCATTAAATTCCTTACTATTTTAAGAAGGCATGTGACGTCATAGCCGCCATGTTGGCTGACATAAACAAAAGATAAAGTCTGGACTTTTAATGTTATGCTAATCAATATGGCTGCCACTACGTCTTTCTTGATGCACCCCACCTATAGACCCACCCCTGACTATTGTAAAGGATTTTATATTTACATAACTAATAAACCGGTTTCATACAGGTCGAGTGAAATGACTATTGCCTTTGTGCTGCTTCTATGGATTGTGATACTAACTACCGTCGAACCTCTATAATATGGACACTGCTCCATTACGGGCACTTCCTTCGTTAAAGTATTCAATAAAAACCCTTCATAATACGGTCATAATACGGTCAAAGGTAGGTTACTTTGCTGTCCGTATTAGAGGCTTGACTGTAATTTTTGACCATGACATATTGTCTCCCATTTTACGAACAATTAAATTATTTTACATCAGTCTTTATCACGAAATATATTTTTCTGTAATAAGGAATTAATATAATGCCTATGAGTTATACGTGCGAAATAACGTGAATTCCGTACCGTTGCCGCGTGCGGTGTTTTCAAACACAAAAAGATCCTTTCTTAGTTTCATAGTCCTGACGCTGGCCCCTCCTAAGGCCTTCCGCTTTTGTTGGGCTGCCTGTGCCAAGGCCTTTCACCAGAAAATTACGATCTATTTGATTTGATTTTGGGTAACGAAAAGTGACGGGCTAAAACGCCATTTTCTTAACTATTCTAACTATTCTACTATTAAAACTTCTAAGGCATTTCTAGTGTAAATAAGGTCATCTCGTCCAGAAAACAAGATGGCGGCATAACTTGTACCCAGAATTCTGGGTGGGTTTAACTAATATATCCCTTATGATAATATTTTACGGCCTAGTGAATTAATAAATGTGTACAACATTTTGCGTTTACGTTGAAAAAAACAACAATTGCGGACAATAAATAGAACAAAATACTTAAAAGGAGGTAGATACTTCATATATGCACACTAAGTGGTTTTATAATATATTTGTAGAAACAATACTAAATAGTACATGAAGTGTTTTAGGTGCAAAATAGTGTGTATACTTTATATACTGAATTCATTCAGTGTTTTCAATCGATTTGGGAATCCAAAGAAATCCAAAGTGGGAATCCTGTGTCAGAGTGCGCAAGAATCCGAATCCGAGAAAAGTTTTACTATACTTTAAAATATTTAGCAAAGCATTTAGAAAGTCCTTAATTAAAGCGTACACGTCTGGTTATTCGCAAAGATGTTGAAAAAGATTTAAAAAGCTCCTACTCCCCAAACTATTGCACACACACAAACACACACACACACACACAAAAACATAGGCGTCCTCTATTAGTTCACAATTTATTGTAAACCAGAAAATTTCGACACGTAAATAAAGTTATTATTATTATTATTATTATTATTATTAGATTATTCCATTTAGCATTGATCAAGAGACCATGGTCTCTCGTACTGATTGAATACATGATCATGAACAATTCTTTGGATTCAATTTTTAAATTTTAAGTATTTTTTACGATATTTCCAAATGTCGGTTTTGGCACCGTTAATAAATCTCAGATGTATGACAAAAATAAAACCATAAACAGTCCAATAGGATTCAATGATAACAAATGGACACGATAGGCTAGTTCCAGCCTAACCCAATGAAAACGAGTCATCGCCGAGTTTGTACCGAAACTTACACGAGACCACGCTCGGTTTCGTGAGAGTGAAGTCTTTTCACGCCTGACAAGTCTGCTTCTATTTTCCACTCATGCGCATCTACAAGACAGACTAGCAGGCATGTAGACTCCTCGTAGGATATTCTCAATGCAGATCAATTCAGAGGACAAAACAATAGAATTTTACTGTTGTGTGTAGAATTAAAATACATCGTTTTGCCATCTCTGAATTGAGCGGCTTTGGTGATAGGCCATTTACGCTTACGGGTCACGTGACCACAACCCACTTAAATCGAGCACTAGTGTCAACATGAAATTCAAAAGGGAAAAGAGCATTATTGCAGCGTGTAACCTACAGCGCAATTCGAATATATGTTGCGAGATAAGTTGCACCAATCGTTGCCAGAAGTAGAATTCATTTCTATTTTTGGCAACGATTGCGTCTCCGTTGCTCTAGACAAGTTGCAATCACGCCTTTAGTGCAAATGGACTGTTGCTGAAAGGCGTCTACTGGGATTTCATCCTTCAGCAGAAAATAAATAAATAAATCTTGATATATGTCCCTTACTTTGTTAAAGAACTGAAAACAATTACTTATATATATATAATAATGGTGCACAAAACATCACTAAGAACAACACAGCTACTTTTATCGAATTACCTTTTTTTTCCTCCCTCTAAATTACCGAGAATTTTAATCCCAAATTGGATTCTCCAATATATTACTTAAATATTGTTATTTCTAAGGATTATTTAAGTGTACCAAAGCATGGCTAAAACAAAATTGGCTTTGCTTTCCCCCGTCATTTTTTCTCTAAGTAAACTGAAATTTATTTCCCAAAAATTGCTCCATTCTAAGCGCTTTTGCTTTCCAAAAAAAAAACAAAGCAGTCTACGAACCAAAACCCCATTTAAGCCAAGAGCTTTCTAAAGCTCTGATAACAAACTAAAAAAAGCCAGACAACAGCCAGACAAATTCCTGGTAGATCATGGCCTTACCCAGGACCTCGCTACTGGTCCCAAAAATTTGAAAGCAGTTGTTTTCATAGCTTTAGTAGTTTGAATAAATAGTATTGAAGTTAGATAGAAAATGTATGTCATTGCCAACGACAGCATTTCTAACTAGAATACTAAGCTAATACTACTTAGTACCAGGTCATGTAGCAGGTTCTTAGCTTATCTTACATTAGATTCCAACGTAGCAAGTGTTTCGTTCAGCTTGAAGAAAAAGCGATTCCTTTTTCTTTTAAGAATCTGGTTAAGAGATGGTAAAGGTGTTCTGACGTACCGTCACCGGCTAGGGCGTGGTTCTTATCCGTGTAGAACTGTGAAAATGAAGATGTGGGATGTTCAATATCAAAGATTGTGAAGAGGATATGGAAAGAAAGGATGATTAAAAAAATGGGAAAGAGAAAAGAAATGGGAAAAACGATAAAGGCAGGGAAGAATAAGTAAAAAAAAAAAAAAAAAAAGAAAAAAAGGGAAAAAAAAAAAAAAAAAAAAAAAAAAAGGAATGGAGAAATGGAGGAAAACGAGAATCATTGAGAAGGGATATTCATAAGAAAGAGTTAATATGGCGACCTAACTGCAATTTGTATCGAGAAGCAGTAGCTTTGTTGGATTTTATTACGTCTATGCAAGTTGGGTATTTGTCAAATCCAAATTAGTGGTCTATCCCTAATGCTGTGCTCTGATTGGATGAGCTACTATTAGGCTATAAGTTATATCGTACCAAGAGATTATAAATAAGAGATGGAAACTTCTTAATGTCGCGCCATGTGAATTCCCGGTTGGGCTATTTTTAGAAACCGCCTTACCCTACTCCCGTGCGTCATCAACTAGCGTTGATGTTATGTTTATGTTCCATATTTTGTTTATTCAATGTGAGGTTTAGCGAGTGATATTGGTTTTCATATATTTTTATAGTTTATGTTTTATTTATTTAACCAGTTTTGTTTATTTTATTATTAAGTTTTAATTTTCTAGCTTAATAACGAGTGATAGTTATGATAAAACCGTCAGTAGTCAATCAGCTGATATTCTTGGTTCTCGGTTTTCGTTGTAGCTGCAGCTGTAGTGGTAGTGATAGTGGCAGTCGCAGTGGTAGTGGTGGCGGTGGTAGTGGTGGTAGTAGTAATAGTAGTAGTTGTAGTNTCACTATCACTATCACTATCACTATCACTATCACTATCACTATCATTATCATCATCAATTTCATTAGTAGTAGTAGTAGTAGTAGTAGTAGTAGTAGTAGCGTAGTTGTAGTGGTAGTTGTAGTAGTAGTTGTAGTTGTAGGTTTAGTTTCAGTTGAATTTTAATAGTTTATTATTACTGGTTTAAAGTATTTTATTATTGATCGTTTATTTACAATTATTTACAAACATCGCACACAATAACAGATAAAAAAATCGAAGTATGAGCACACATGCGTAGCTGTATAAAATAATTTGTCATTTTACGCGTTGCTGTAGTACGTGACAAGTGTACAATCTGTCTGTGTTAATAGAATAGTATACGTGTTGCTGTGGTACGTGACAAGTGTACAGTCTGTCTGTGTTAATAGACTAGTATACGTGTTGCTGTAGTACGTGACAAGTGTACAATCTGTCTGTGTTAATAGAATAGTATACGTGTTGCTGTGGTCTGTGACAATTTTCCACTCTGTGTTAATAGACTAGTGTACGTAAAGGCATTTCTTCTCCTGCGCGCTTGGCTGTTACTGGATGCTCGCTTACTGCAGATTCAACTTTTCTTGTAAGAATTGAATCAAGAGGTGAAAAAGATGCTTCTGTACGCCGCCAATCGAGTGATTCTTGTCAACATAAAACTGAGACACACATGTAGGATTCATGTAAGTATCCATATCAAGTGTACAACAATGAATCAAAGCAGGGGTGGTAAAAGGGGTGGTAAAAGGGGTGACTAGTCACCCCCCCCCGCCCACTTTGTTCTCAAATTTCTTAGCATGTCGTTAGTAACAGTTACCCCCCTTTCCTCGAATTCTCGATAAAACCTTTGTAATAGTCACCCCCTTCTATAATTCCTGGATCCATCCCTGCAAAGACGTTTCATATGATGGTGTCATTTTACTGTCACTACCACAATGCTTTATGAATGAATATCAGTCCTATTTAATCTTATCGCCTCTTAGAAAGACAATCCTCCATTCGTTCGCCTTATTACGTCTTGATACTACTTATACCAGAATGCTCTTCAAGCCCTTTTTCTTATTCAAGTGTCTTAACTCCTTCAGTAGTGGCAAGATACTGGTGTTAGCCAAACCATACAAAGGAAGCACGAAAATAATTCCGATAGTGGAAGTATCGTGACATAATAAGGGGAACGGATAATTGGTGCTATGTAGGGGAACAAACCAAAGTGCGCAAGGGATTTTGGTGTACGTAGTGGTAGTAATTGCTGCTAATATAGTGGAATAAAGCAAAGTGCGCAGGGGATTCTGGTAGTGGTAGTAATTGGTGCTAAAATAGCAAAAGGTTTGTGATAGGAAACGAGACTACGAAACGCTAAGCATTGTGGTAGTAACAAAAAAAAACATTAAACAATATTAAAGGATTTGAATATTAAATAGGATATTAGATATTTTATGTTGCATCTTTTTATGATGTAGTTTAGGTTATTGCTTCTTTAACCCTTTATTATTTTAATCTTTTTTAATGTTAGTTGTCGTCGTTATCACATAGCACATAGCAGTTAGTCCAAAACAGTCTGACTGAAAGTTTTTTTAGAGCTTACCTGAACCTGGAATTCTATTTCTTCTTCTGTTAATTTCTTGACAAGCTGAGCAGAGTTTTGGAAGTGAACATTATCTGTGAATGAAAATGACAATAGGACGTAAGCACTGTGTGTGTGACGGTTAACTGTAGATGATGATGATGATGGCGGTGGTGGTGATGATGATGAGTAAGATGATGATTGTGAAGATGATGATGGTGGT